TTCTGTGTCATTGCATTTCTGGTGGAATTAGCTGGTGCCTCTTTGTCAAGAGGCACCAGCCTCACAGATTTCAGATCTACTCAGCTTTTCCCACCAGAGAACAGAAACAGCCACAAAGATAACAAAAAGCCTGTCTGGTAATGCCAAGGAATTGGTCTCATTTGGCTCTCCTACAAACATAGTGGGTCCTTTAGAATACTATCACTTGCACACATTTATTGCATGATGTCCAGCAATCCAAACAATCTAATACAAAGGCATTTGAAATTCAGTCACTGCTAAAGCCTTGCTTGCTGACACATTAGCTCCTTCTGCCTGCTAGCATCGTTTTGTATGAAGAAAATGTAACACTGGAGGAGTAGCAGTGTGGTACTGACCTACTGGCTTCTAGATTAGGGTTACTCCTGGTTTGTGTCATGAACCAGTTGGTGGAGAGTTTGTACAAGACCAAGACTGATTTCAGAGCCTGCTTTCATCTTGGAACAGACTTTCAAGCAATATGAATTTCAATACCTAGATTTCTTAACCAAAAAAAAAAGGGTTGAGCTACTGAGCTATGACACTGCCAACCCATCAGCTTAAAACATGCATGAACAGGTTGAGAAATGAAATTTAACAGAATAGTAGAAGTCAATAATGGCTTTATAGTATTCTTCAAACAGCCACAATTCCAGTTTCACTTTCTCTCAGTCCGAGGGTTCTTTGCCAGCTGCTCTCACAAACACACTGCAAGACAGTGCTGGACAGGGATGGACGGACGTGGTTCCTGAGGTTCTGCTGCTTGCCCTGCACGGACATGCAGTTCATCTCTCTATGATCCAGTGTGGCCTCATAACCAGGGAGCCATTCCTCTTAGTCAGCGGGGGAGAGGTGTGCATCGTGTTATTTGGGGTGTACACAGCCTCCCTGGAGGCGTGCAGCCAGCTCCTCTTCCTCTTCAGATCTCCTACAAATGCTCTCAGATACAAAAATTCCATTCTCAGGAAGTGTTCCCTGGTCATGTCTCTGGAAGCCACTGTTATCCTGAAGAGCTGGTCCCACACCCTGTTCTTCTTGCAGCCAGAAAACTCTTTGAGGTTGATAGGCTTTGACCGTGAATGAAGAATCCGAAATTCCACATCAAAGTGTGCAACTGCTGGGCCTGACAGGATCAAAATGTTACTGCTGTTCAGCTTCCCATCTGTCCACGTAAAACTAGCAAAGGAAGAATGACAAAATTATAAGTTAATTCAAAATAATCAGTAAAGAAAGTATTCACTGGAAATTCTCCTACATCACATTTAGTTATGTTGTTCTTACAACCCAACTGATGAGCAATGGGCTCTTTTAAGGATAAATGTTGGTCATAAAATCAGATAAGGAAAGCAATTCTTCAGCATTGCTGGTTTTCCTTTCCATGGAGAGAAATCACGTAAAGCAAGAGAAAAATGGGCACTTGCCTGTAGGAGCCTGTTGTCACTCTAATGCCATCAATTAACATGAACTTTTCACGAACTTTTCCGATGATTTTGGCGCCCGACCTGGTGCAGTACGTGCTCCCCGTGATAATCCGAACCCTCATCAACTGTAAAACACACAGCAAGAGTCAGGTGGGCTGCAAAGCTCAGAGATTGCATTTAAAGGAGTAACACAGCAACAACCATCCCTGATGAACTGTGCACTGGCACAAGAGTCACCCACTAGGAACCAAGTGAGGATTTTGTCTTGTTTTTGTAGGCAAAGAGGTGACATTAAGGGGCAAAGCCATAAACTGACTGTGCAGAATGGGACTGTGAAAATTCCTGTCACCTAATCATCAGGATGCAAATTCCACAGACTCCTGAGAACCTGCTTCTCCCTCAGCCTTCAAAGTCTTGGCGAGTCCAAGCAACTCCAGTCATGCTTTAGGAACTGGACATTCCTCCTGCGTTTCCTTGAACATTCAATTAGTATTTGTGCTCAGAAAGCAGCTGTAACATCCAATTACAAAGGTTTCAGATTTTCTATTAATTACTGTCTTATGTAGAAATAGCTAAATCTTCCAAGATAGAGGATAGAACTGGAGCTACATAACACCCATTTTAAGTTGTGGCAGCAGGTGTAATAATTTCTTCTTCTGACAGCTTAAAGATTACAGTCATAAGAGGATCAGTTCCCTACTCCTATAAATATGACAAGGCTCACCTTTTCCTGCTCAAGGTCAACTCCCAGATCCTTGCACATTTTTAGAAAGTGGGAAAATGAAGACTGATCTAGAAGGATATACACTTTAACTTGCCGTTGGCTACAGGCTTCCAAGAGGTCTGTGAAGATATCAGTGTCTGTGAAGGAATCCATAACCAGGGCAATCATCTGAAATGAGTTTCAGAAGAAACCATTAGGCTGTTTCTACAGCATTACAAAGGACATAGCACATGAGAAATTTGAGTTTCAAATTAAATGCTCCCCCCTGCCTTTTTTTTCAGGTGGTTATGGAACATGCTCTTCTGTGATACAGAGTACTCTTCCTCACCCTGAGATAGAACTAGACCCCTCGTTTTGCCCTATGTTAGGCAAATTCGATCTCTTCCTCAGCAAGAGGTTTTTGGTTTGTGGTTTTTTTTTTCCTTGAGAACAGATGTCTTTTTTCCTCAAAACCATTGCCAGAAGAAAAGTTGAGCTTACTTCCAATACTACAGTTTTCCCATCTTCCAACTTTTCAAATATAAAAAGAAACAGTAAGAAAACCCAAAACCATCAGTGTCTGACTGCTCTTTATATCTCAGCTCTGTATTTAAGATAAAAGTCAGGTTCGTCTTCACCTTATTATTCAGATTCTTATATTTCAAGTCAAGATCTAAATAAAACATCCCTTGAGAGCCAGCTCCTACCCCCGCAGATCTTCCCCATGGACTGAACCCCAGGATTTGCCATGGATCCTCCGCAGGATGGGGAAGCAACGGCTCTTCCAGAGAGCCGGGAATGGGCACTCCGGATTTATCGCTCACGGCTGCCAACTCCGAGGGAACTCAGCGGCACCCAGAGAGCTCAGACCCGGTTTTCAGCACTGGGAGGGGGAAAAGCTGGCAAATTATGAACCTGACTGAAAAATAACTACAGAATATGGTGGAAAAAACATAAAGCAATACGAAACAGCAGAGTAATTAGAAACGGAAGAGTATGTAAGTAAGAGTATGTAAGACTAAGCGGGGAAGGACGAGGCGGCCCGGGGCAGGGCAGGACAGAGCGGTCCCCGGGCACTCACTCACTCACGCACTCACTCACTCACTCACTCACTCACTCACTCCCTCACTCACCTGTCGGGCGGAGCGGATCTGGCGCCGCACCGCCTCCTTGCAGCCGTAGATGCTGTCCCCGCAGCCGGGCTGGAAATGCGCCTCCACCCGCGTCAGCCCGCGGAAGGCGCCGCTGGCGAAGCCCGGCCAGCCCAGCTCCAGCGCGGGCGGCTCCAGGTCCGAGCGCTCGGGGAAGTAGGTGAGCGACGAGGCGTCCAGCGAGGCCCCGGCCGAGGCCTCGGCCGCCGGCTCCGGGCCCGCGGCGGGCGGCAGCGCGGCCCGGGCGATGTCCTGCACCTCGGGCTCCGACAGGAAGGGCGGCAGCTGCTCCCGCCGCAGGAAAGCGCGCAGCGCCTCGGGGCCGCCCGCCACCAGCTCCTCCAGCGCCAGCCGCTGCGCCTCGCTGTACGGCCCGGCCGGCGGCGGCCAGCGCCCCGAGCCCTCCTCCAGGCACTGCGACGCGTTGGCCATGGCCGGAGCGCCCCGGCGCTGCCCCGGCTCTTTATAGCGCTCCGCGGGCTCCTCCCGGCCGCTCGCCCACGGCAGTCACGGGTGGCACAGCCCGCAGCCTTCCCCACGCCCAGGGAAGCGCCCGCAGAAGGGCCAGCCTCGAAGGAGGAAGGATCGGCCCAGCCCTGGTGCTGCTGGCCAGCCCGGATCAAAAGGCTGCTCCTAAGATTGGAGAGGGCAAATGGCCACAGCCGGAAAGGACCAAGTGCCGACGAAGTGACTTAGTCACCCCGATTTAAAATGCCAAATAAACAGAAAACAAAGCTCAGCGATGATCAGGCGAAAGCCCCATGGCAAAAAGGAGTTTATTTGTAAACTGTTTCTTGTTCCTGTTAGAATACCTTAACAACAACACGGTATAATAAAGTTAAAAAGCACATAGAACAAACAAGGTAATTTTATATACATTCAAGAACTGCAGGACTTGAGCTCTTAAAAATACAACTCGATATTGCCTTTGAAGGTGTAATCTTGGCTCCCTCCCTGTAACTTGGTTTGGTGCCAGTGTTNATTCATTCATTCATTCATTCATTCATTCATTCATTCATTCATTCATTCATTCATTCATTCATTCAATATTCAAGCCAGCAGCTGAAATGTGCCATCTACTGGACACACATGCCCCTTAATAAAAAAATACATAACCCAGACTCAGATGTGATTTGGCAGAATTCAGTGTGGTTGGTCACTGAAGTACTGAGATGCAGGTCTAAAGAAAAAGGATACAGGCCAGATCTCAGGGAGAGACTGCACACACTGCTCAGGTAAGAGACGCAGCAAGAACAGACATGCACAGAAATCTGCAAACAGATAAAGGCTTTGCAAAGCAACCAAACCTCAGATCCACTCAATATTGGAAGTATCTTCAAAAACCAGAGTGGCACTTTAGCTCCTCAAACTGAGTTAGTAGTGGAAAAATTATAGAGCAGGAAAGAGTATTTCAGACAGCACAGTTAAAAAGAGAAAAATGTTTCTTTAATTCCTACAGTTATTCCTACAGTAAATTAACATTACCCAACATAACCCATAACATTCCGTAGTGCATTTGTCAGTTTACTTTTGAACAGGGGCTTTGTCACACACCCTCAGTGATTGTCTTGCCTTGGAGTTCACTGCAAAGAAGGAAGCACACACATGCACACACATATATATTTATATATCTCTATTTATATATCTCTAAACAAAGGCACAAGAGCATGATCAAACTAGAGGGCTTGTTAGCTCATTCTGTTTCAGAAGGCTTAAACAATGGAAAAATAATATAGTTGAAGATAACCTGTAACTGTTTCAACAGACTCCTTGCAACTTTAGTGGAAGAGTAACATATATACCACAGAAGTTAGAATAAAATCAGCTTTATGGCTCTTTGTAAAAGCTGATTCCTCTTCTGTCAAAGATAAAGTAGAATATTGCAAAAAAGATTGAGAATTTTTGAGGTAAGACAGATCTCCAGAGCTACTCTGAGCAGTGTGACTCAGATTTTTCCAAGTTTACATAAATTAAAACTAGGGCATTAGCAATCCCAGAAAGCAGTATCAAGTTCAGTTTTGAGGTTAAATACCCAGAATTAAAATGATCTTCACCACTAATGCAAGAGGAACTTCTAAGTTGTTACAATATAATGTCTCTTTTTCGTCACTTACGTTGCATAGTATAAAACAAAGTGCTGGAGAGTAGTGTATTAAAAAAGTATTAAAGAATTAAAAGTGCTGGACAGAAGTGAAAGAATCTTTAGGTACAAAGTGACAGCAACTTGAGCCTGGGGTTTGTGTGTTGTGTGGTCGGGGCAGGAATCATTTATTGAGGGAGAAGAGCGAGGCGTCGCGGAGGCTGCGCAGGCTGGCGCTGATGTCGCGCCTCTGCTTCAGGCTGCACCTGCCAGGGTACTGGCTCACGTAGCTGGCAGGGACACGGCCCCGCCGGGACAGGATATCCACCATGTGGCTCAGCTTCGACCTGATGGTGGAGTAGTGGAACTGCCTCTCTTTGTGCAGTTTTTGGAAATATTGTGCCCTGTGACTACTGGAATATTCAAAGGAGCGGAGAGAGGATATTGAGCCTGTAGAGCTTGCAAGAGAGCACTGGGATGATGATGAAGACAGTGATTGCAGACTAGAACTGGATACGGCCTTTGCAGACAGAAAATACTCTTCTTTTGAGAACTTTCTGGGAAGGAGGGGTGTTTCTGTGCCCTCCTCTTCCTTTGTCTGTGTCACTGCAGTCTTCAGCAAAATGGATGTCTGAGTGCCTGTCACTCTGGCCGTGACAGAAGCCTGAGTGCTAGTGTCTGCTGTGGCAGTGCTGGCCTGAGTGGCTGCATTACATTTGGTCACAGCTGCCATCTCTTCCCAAGGGCCAGTTTGAGTTGATGCACTTCTCTGTTCCACTGAGGTCGCTTGATTGCTGAACAACTCCTCTTCACACAGGCAAGAATGCTGCAGGTTACAAAGCTTTCCTGCAGCAGTATATTCAGTTTGATCTGTTTTTTCCAGCAATTTCTTTGGAGTGCTAGACAGTCTGGCAAATTCTGCTCTCAAGTTGCCTTCCACAGTATATTCTTTGGAGGATTCTGTTCTGGTCAGCAGGTGATCAAACATGCCACTGTTCCTGCAGCTGGACGGTCGCTTTGGGCTGATGGGCAGTGACTGGGCATAAAGAATCCTGAACTGGAGGTCAAAGTGTTCAACCACTTGACCTGACAACACCAGCAAGTTGCTGCTATTCAGCTTCCCATCAGACCATGTGAAACTGTTGAAAGGAAACCAAGATTCGCAGTTAATCTCTGGTGCATTTCAACAATACAGCTACAGACATCAAGACTCAGCTTAAAAATGAAGATAAGGTAAGACTTCAACAGACTATTCATTTCTGCAGGAAGAACTCTATTTAGCCATGGCCAAGTTCTCTGCTAGCAACAAGCTGAGTAAACCAGTTTTCCAAAGGTGTTTTCAGATTTGTGTCAGCCCAAATTTGACTCAGCTAGTCCATGTGCCATTGGCACTCATTAACACCGGGCAAACAGCAAAGTTAATACATCCTGTTGCATCAAATCCCTATTTCTACACCTTCACTGGGCACCAGCAGACCCCAATACTTGCCTGTAGGAGCCTGTTGCCACTCTAATGCCATCAATTAACATGAACTTCTCCTTGGCTTTCCCGACAATTTTGGCACCTGACCTCATGTAGTACGTGCTCCCTGTGAGAGTTCGAACTCTCATCATCTGGTTCAGAAAAGAAAGGAAAAAAGTGGCATCAAATTTAAGTTAACTTCCAGTATGGAATATAGGAATGAAAGGAACTTTTTAATACAGTCTGTGTATGAGTGTTTTTAGTCACACAGTGCTAAATTCCTGTTGGATTAGGTGAGAACAGTCAGTTCCAATTAATTACTGCCCAGGAAGGCAGGAGTGCTTTTCCCTCTCCAGAGAAACTTTTACTGCAGTGAATATAAGCCTATCCAAGCCAAGCCATAACTCAGCCATGTCCATTTATATTCACAGCAGCTAAACAAATCACCTGGCTCACATTATCCAAACCCTTTTAAAAGAAAGTATTAGGAAAGAAAGCAGCTGATACCAGAGCTGTACCACCCTTTAGCTTCCCACGTTTCTGTTTTCCTTAGCAAGCAGTTCCTTGAGCCAAAGAATAAAGCTATTTAAACATTGCAAAATTAAATCCCTGAAAATTGCTGCATCCTCAGGACAGGGATCCCGGTGCAGAGAGCACATGGGCCTGTACACATCATGCTTGTAGCTCCTACATATGGACAACACACAGGTTGCTTTGGCCTTTCAAGGCAGTCTGATGCTTTATAGAAAGGTTTCTTTGATATGCATAAACTGTATCACAAAAATAAAAACAAACCACACTGACCCCAGTTCAGTACTTACACTTTCCTGCTCAGGACAAACTCCCAAATTGTTGCACATTTCCAAGAAATGGGGTACAAAGTCCTGGTCAAGAAGGATGTAGACAGGGACTTGGCGGTTGTTATAGGCATCCTGAAGGTCACTGAAGATCTCAATGTCTGTGAAGGAATCCATCACAAGGGCAATCACCTGCAAGGAAAGCCACACCGCTTACTCAGGGGACTTAATTACCACAGGACCACTGCCTCCCCCAGCCATTTTCTCCTGCTGCTATCATCAGGGTCTCATGCACATCTCCTTGTCCTGCTGCACAGGCTCTAGCAAGCTCTAAAAGATTTCTATATTCCCACCACACTCCTGTAAATTCATTGTGCCCCAGCATGCAAAGCATAGGCCTGAAGAGTTTTTTCCTCTGTCAGCTGCTTTTGTACACTTTCACATCCTCCTTTCCTACACAAGCCCCTGTAGTGTGGCCAGACTGGGGAAGCTATCACAGCAGAATCTGGACTCCAGACAAGCCATCTCCACACCTATTCTCCCTGTGTTTCAAGCAGCTACAGGAGAATTAGTTCAAATGGCCTCCTTGCTGTCAGAGCTCACAAACCCCAGCTGATCTCCAGACTCTTCCTGGTTTCTACATTCTTACTGAGTTTCTATCCCTTACCTTCACAGGAAATCCCCCCACTCACCCAACAGTTCTCTCAAAAAGGCAAATCCTAAGATGGGAATATCACATGTATTAACCATCTCTCCAGCTAATTCAGAGCCACCTCACACACTGATTTGGTGCTTGAGTTCTCACCCTTCCAAACCACTTCTGTGTAGGGACACAAAGGCATAAAAGATTCAACTTTATGACTGAATTTTCCACTTTTCTATTAAACCAGCATAAAGAAAAATGAGAATACAACCACTGTGGGTACCTGGCACCTGCCCTTATCAGATGGAGGCTGCTGCAGCACACCCAAGGTGTAAAAGCATGCAACACAGCTGCTCTGTGTGTGGCACAGCCTGTACTCACAGGACACCTTTCCCACAGGAACAGACTGAGCTCTGCATTCTCACCTCTGTCCTGCTCCCTAAGGGACTGGTTCTGTTTGGCTGAGCTCTGACAAATAACATGCACAAGCACATGGGTATTTCTAGATAAAGTTACTTTATGTTGGTGCTTCTTGCGTGTGTCCTGATCCTCTTGCCACCCAATCACTCATCTAAGTGTTGAAGAAGATTAAAAACCAATAAGATGCTTTTGACATGACCAGGCAAGTAAGAAAACCACCCCTGAAAACAAAACAATTCACACTAAATCCTTGGGAACACTGATGCCTTCATATGACAGCTCAGTTCACAGCATGTTTGAGTTCTAGTTCCAGAATTAGCAGCTGAAAAATAAATACAGTTTTGCCTAAAATCTTTAGAGGAAAGAGAGAAAACCCTTTACTCTACTCATCCATTCAGGATAGCAAGGACAAGATCACAGCAAGTCACTTAACTAACTGCATTTGAGTGCATTAATTTGGGAAGAAATTACACGCGCAGCGCCTCGGGGCCGCCCGCCACCAGCTCCTCCAGCGCCAGCCGCTGCGCCTCGCTGTACGGCCCGGCCGGCGGCGGCCAGCGCCCCGAGCCCTCCTCCAGGCACTGCGACGCGTTGGCCATGGCCGGAGCGCGGCTCCGAGCCCGCCGGGCGCTTTGTGGCGAGTTTGAATCCAAACAGCGCGGCCGCCGCCGGAGCCTTCCCCGCCCCGAGCCGCCGTTGGCTCCGGCAGGGCGGCACCGCCTTCCCGGGCGGGACCGGGATAGGGCTCCCGCCCGAGCCCTGCTGCCTTTCAGTGGAGCCGGGACAGCCCTGCCCGAGCCCCGCTGCCCTTCAGGGGACGGGCAGGGATTGCGGAGCTTTTGCCCTGCACAGAATCAATCCCCTCTGAGAAGGGCGCTCGTACAGATGCGTGCTCCCACGGAAGGCAGGCACAGCTTTGACTGTCCAGCTTGTCTCCAGCTCCAACTGCCTCCACTTCACAGAATCACGGAATATTCGGTGCTGGAAGGGATCCTCAAGCCGCATCAAAGTCCAATTTCCGGCCAGGGCACAGGGCAGCACCAAAAATGCCACCGTGGCCCTGAGAGCATTGTCCAAACGCTTCCTGAGCTCTGCATTTGAAACAAAACTTACACTCACCCAACTGCCCAGATTTCCTCTTCTAGACATCCCCTGGCTGTAGACAGCTGAGGGGCAGAGATATTTAACAGAGCCAAAATTCAAACCAGTTAAAAACCAACCAACCAAACAAACAGACAAAAAACTCCCCTCAGTAGCATTTTTGTATTATTAAAAGAAATTTAATATAATTTTTAAATTAAAAAATTCAATCTCTCTATTAAAGACACTGAGTCAGGTGCTAATACTGTCAAACATACGCTTTTGGCATGAGTTTTACATAAAGTTTAAGATTTTATGCATTGCTTCAACATGTTAAGAAACCATCTTCATACTTACAGTAGCAATAAAGTCAATTCCATACAATATCAAATATCCTTTTTTTAAAAAAGTTTTAAATATATTAGACTCTGATTGCCAAAATGCCATTTTATACACAAAGCTGCTAATACAATATACAGTTCTTACATTATTCTTCACATAAAATACATTTCATCAAGTTTTATCTGTACATCGTTTACTACTGATCAATGGAATTACGAGTTATTGCAGAAGGCTTGCCATCATCTCTTCCTGTCCTGTACACGCAGCAGTCCCGCCTGTACCAGGCTTATCCACACTCCTGCAACCTCACACTGCAATCTAAAGGCTGAAGACATGGTGGTGGCAATGCTAAGGCTGCATCTGCACTGTTTAAACACCCGTGTCTCCCCTCCAGCTGTGGGTGGAGATCATTGCATTGCTGTAGCTTTGGGAACAGGTATCTCGAGCAGAGTCTCCTCTGCTACAGCTTTCCTGGATGAAATACAGCAAAATGTTCTAGGCCATAATTGTGTCATGGCAGATGTTGCCTGGAGAGCCCAGTGGTACTTGAATTGTGTGAGAGAACTGCGAAGTCCATTAGCAGTTTGGCTAACATGAAAACAGAATAAAGGTGAAGAAAAACTAGGGAGAACTGTTTTGTCCCAGACATGGGCAAAACAAAACAAAAACTGCAAATATATTCTGATGTAAGAGGTGAGACCTTGCTGCTGCAAGCATGTTCTTGATTCTGCCTGTAGAGAACTGACACACCAAAGCAGTCAACATCATTTGTTAAAATACAAAGAAGCGCCTGTGCATTTCTTTTCTGTGTATTTAGGAAGAGAGAAGTGGTGATTGTGAGAGAAATCGAAAGAGTAAATAATAATGTCACAATCTGGCATGCTCTGGACTGTTATCCCCTTGCAAAAGTCTCCACGTTAAAGATCAGCAAGAACTGCATAGCCACCACAAACCTTCCAGAGATGAGTTACCTTTAGCAAGTATAAGGCACAGAAATAACCCAGGTGTAGGGAGAAACCTTCCAGCAGACAAACAGTTCATCCATGGCTCACTGGAGACCAGTGCTATTGCTATCTCAGGATATTCCCTTTTCCATGGTAACCGATTTAGTTTCAGCAGGGATGACGGGGGTAATCAGAGCTCCAAGACTGAAGGAAAAAGACACTAGACAGAAGTTATAATGTCATTTGGGAGCTTTTAAGGGATTTCAACCCCATGAAGTAAGATCCTGCTCAATAAACTCAAGAATTCACTGCCTCCACTGAGTATTGCACTGCGTCATTATTGCTATTGCCCTGCCGTGCTCTTCTCCTTCCCTACCAGGAGTTCTTCATCCAGGTGGTTTTTCAACCACATCTCCAAGATGGCACAGAATCACCTCAGCTAGTCAGTTCTTTCCAAAATTGGGAGGGTCTTAAGATTCAGGAGCACCAAAGAAATTAAATTAGGTGAGCTGAAACTGCATTATGTGGTATGTGAAACACAGATCCAGGTGTGATTTCAAACAGATCCCAGCAATGGGACTTAAGCCCTTATCTAACATTTCAGTGCTGGGGCTTGCTTGTCTGAGCTGACCAAAGTAGAGACATTGTTTTGAAAGACATTGCTTTTTTCTCCATCTAACAAATTTCTTTCAATGTGGAATGTAAAACTGCTCTCATCAACCACTAGAAACAGTACAAATTCAGCACAGAGGAAAATGTGAGGAGAAGGTAGGGTTATTCTCATGCAGCTCTGCCTACAACAGACCTGTCAGTACATTCACATTCTCAGATCTTTGCACAGTCTCTATGAACAACTACAACCTTTGGCTCACTGGAACTGAACTGGGACTCTAATCTGGCCTTGAAACTGTAATTAGATATTTATTGATCTCAGAAACATTAAGTATATCATAAAAACCTCAAATGCTGCTCTAATAAACTAAGATATGCTAATCACAACATGATTTCTAGGTTCTACAGATTTTCAGCCATATTAAGATCCCATGAAACAGCCAAGTGCCCTCTGCTCTGTACCTCAGAGCTTTCCTGTAGGATGGCCTTAAAACACACAGATATCAAACCCCCACTATTGTTGTAATACTGCTAAATTTTACAGTGGAAAGTGTTATTCCTAGGCTGCTATAGTGCCTGTGTAGAGAATCTGTGTGTTTTTTATTCCCCCAAAAGCCTGGTTTTCTCCACAAAATAGTCCACCTAAGCAAGTTATTTATCCACCTTACGGAATCCATCATCCCAGACCTACATCCAACAGCTCTGCCAGTGCTCCACAGGCAGTGACCATTATATCCCAAATGTCACCACACAGAAGCATGAATCCATTCCAGGCCATTCTTCAACAGCCTTCCAGCTCACACCCTGGTGCAACTTCAGCCCACAGCCAGAGGTAGGTAAACACTTGGCAGGGCTGTGAAACATATCCTGCAAGATTTATCCATTACTGCCTCTTGCCATTAATAACTCTCCTGTCTGATGAAAAATGGATTACATTTGATCAGACACCACTAGACTTCACAGCTAGGATGATGAGTTCCCAGAGTTTTGTGTGAAATACTAGTGGAAGCCAAAAAGCTGTTTGTCTAAAATGGACTGGTTTCCTGCAGTTTTAATGTATTAATAGTTCTCAGTGAAAAGAAGCCTCAAGCTATTGCATTCAGTGATCTCCTTTTCATTTCCTTGGAATTAGGCAGGGTTCAATACAC